CAGTGAGCAAGCCAAAAGAGACTGAGGCTCCAGCTGCTCCATACGATGTTTTGGTAGCATCTTCCTCTGACATTGACATCATTGTATGTAAGGGTGTATTCACACCAGGAAAGTCCGATAGTTCACTTGCTTTGGTCCGGACCAAATACATTTATTTTTTTGTCAACAAAACCACACGTGTGCTAAGGTCGTCCATTCATTGGACAAGGATTCTCATATAGGGAAATCAGGAAGTGCAAAAAAGGCTCAGCAAGGAGGTATTTCGTACTGCAATATTTGTTATTTGACTAATTTTGTGTTATTCTGTACAAACGCAATATGAAGAAACTGCGCAGAAGACGGATAAGGTATAAAGTTTTCATTCATAGAGAGGGGCTATGTTCACACATTCAAATAATGAGATTCTTATTGTATATACTGCTTAACGCAGCGTCATCCTTGTATTTTAACTATCGTTACATTATATGAACTGCAAAAGCTTTTTTTTGCATCTATGCGCGATTAGACTAAAGAGAACATTTTGTATGTGAATGTCCTGATGCACAAACTCATTTATTCATTCCATTCCAATGATGCACACACACGACGCGCAGAAAGACGCGCAACAGTATCGTGTGGCCAGACAGCGCGCCGGAATGGAATTCTCTTTCGCCATTGAACAACAATAACACAAACTATTATGCCAAAATCTCCGACTACGGAAGCCTGTTAACTCAAAGGCGCAGTGCTTTCTTGCAATTGGGTCGGTTCATGTTCACACCGTAAACGAACCGTACCAGAGTTCGTTTGGAACCGTACCGAGACCACCTCTTCAGCTGGGTCTCGGTTCGGTTGTTTGGTCCGCACCCGAGTTCGATTGCTGTATTCACACCTGCCCAAAAGGTCCGCACCAAGGGGGGAAACGAACTAGAGTTCGATTCAATCGAACCAAACAAGGCAGGTGTGAATACACCCTAAGATAAATCTATTTAGCCTGTATAGTGCATGATACTTTCATGGTGTTTTGATTTTGTTCTTTATGGAGTGACAGATGTGGTTTCTATGAACTATTGTTGTATAAAGCACTACATAAATATTACACTACAAAATTAAAATCAATAGTTTTAAATCCTACAAGTGAATCTAGGCATCACAACATCAGAATTTACAGTATTAAAAATGCAAAATTATTTTGAGATTTGCTAATATATATCCAATATCAAATGATACAAATTTAAAAACTATCAGCTGATAACTCATGTGATAGCCATATGTTGTGCACATCACAGGTATGGTGGTGTTCTTAGTGACAACAGCAATTTGATAGACACTAATGTTTAGTAAATAATTCAATTTTTCATTTATAGTAGTCAGATGGCATATTTCATTTGAAATGAATTAAATTATCTCATCAGGGATAGATGCACAGTCCTTTCAACAGGTTGATTGGTGTAGTTTTGGCATAAGTTTGTATGTTGTTTTTAAATAGTCACCAATCCTTAAATCATTATGCGTTTATTTACAAAACGATTCAACATTATTTGTGTACCATAACCACCCCTTTGTCCTATTACCATTGTCTCTCTTCCCATCAGGCTATTGTTTGGCATCCTGTTGGCCTGTGGTCTCACTCTCTGGGCAAATACAACCAACAATCAGTGTTGATTCTAGCAGGGTATTGGTCAAAGCTTTTGTGAGCACTCAGTACAAGAACAGTGCTGATATTTAATCAAGAATTTTCTGGGCTTTACTGTACTGCAGGATTATCTGCATCACCAAGGCTTATGACCATTTAGTTACCCATTCTTTTTAATATCTCGTTTCTAGTTTTGTGAATTCTATCCTGATAGTTGTGTACGTCTATTAGAGGGTTTGACACACTCTTTCCAGCTCTGTATTTAATTAAAACATCCCTGTGTGTGAACAGTGTGAACGAGAAGAGCTGTCGGCCACTGAATGCTCCATTCTTGAGACGAAGTGACTGCAAATTACCAATAACTGTTTGTTTCAAGCGATCCATTGTTTGAGTACAATTAAGACCAATTAAAATAACCCGATTTCCCAGAAAGGAAACAGCTTTTTGTTGCTATCCTCGTCCTCTGGTTGTTTTCCCAATGTAAGAATGGCCAACAAAGCAGATGGTGTTAGCTAGAAACTACTTCACTTTTTGGACATGTTTCAAAGTCCATTCAATGGCTCTATTTGCTTTTGTAAAACATTGATTGACCAAGTGTAGGCTATGTTTTGATTGGTGTGTGCCACCTAGTGGAGGAACACGTAATAGCACCATTTGCACTTCTACTGTCAAGTAATCCTTATATTTAGTGCTCTCTAACCAAAACGAGGCTGTTCTCTCCTCTCGAGTGTTTCCAATTAGCTAACTTAAGAGTTTACTTAGGTCAACACATTACAGAACTACTTAGGCCTGTGCAACTGTAATTTATGTCGCTGTTTATGTAGGTGCTGGGGGCTGCATTAATTTCGCTATTGTGGGGGTTTGGGAGTTTTCTGTAATGAATAAAGCTTTATTTTGATAAAGAATTTAATAAAGTTCTGTTGCCCTGAAGGAGTGTTGTTAAATCATAATGCAATATTTGGCCCTGTTGACTGTCTGATGTGTTGTCGAGCTGCAATATTAATGACCAACCCTAGAGTCAAAACACAATTATGCAAAGTTGTTAAATGGTTTTTAATTAGATTTTAAGATTTTAATTACTTTCAATAACAAATGCACATCCGTGTTATACAGGGCCTTACACTATGAAGCCACTTCGGGCTGTTGGATCTGTAATACAATAATCCCTACACAGTCATTATTATTTTAACAATATCTTTCCATGAAAGTCTTTGCTGGCAAGTTTGGTTTGGGCTTTAAACCAAACTCTTTATGACCCCTTTAAAGCATTAAACATTCTTTGTTAATAAAGGTTAGTGTATTGTAATATATGATTCACTCCCTTGAGTCCTTGACACACCTCCATTCACATCAAACCTCCCATTCCATCACAACTGTTGCAAAAACTGTGTACAGCCTGCAACCCTGGGGCAGTGCTGTAATGTCTGGGTAAACGCAGGACCGGGGGGCTGAGAGATTAACAGTAGAGTTAGGAAACCTGCGGGAAGTTCTGCTTTATGGCAGCTTCTCCACAGAGCTCTGCTCGTTAACACTCATCCGGCTCTGCACGGCATATGGAGACCCATCTCTACCCCTGTGTGCTCCATCTCATAAACGGCTATCACTGCTGTTGCCAAAAAGATAAAGCACATCTGTTAGGCAGTGAGTGAAGGCAGAGAGGAGAAGTTTTTTTTTTTTTTTTTATTGTGTTTGAGGTCAATATAGTCAGACTGATCAGGTTTAAAGATGTATCTAATGGGTTGCTTCATTAAGAGCAGAACTCACGGTGAGATTCAGCACTCCCTGCTGCATAGACCAGGATGTGTTGGGTTTTGGATGCTCATAACCAGCATGGATTGCCAATGTTTTGGTATCACTATAATGTTGATGGATTAGCTCAACCAGCAAGACTACTTTGGTCCACCATCTTTACCAAAAAAGCCACAGTGGTCCTCTACTATTCTCTTTTTAACTCTGCACTAGCTCGTTCGTATAGTTTTTGAAAAAGATACCGTTACCATGTCTGGTTAAACAACAAAGATGCGGAATTTGTGAAAACGGTGACATCACGTGCATGTATTATATTGTGTTTACAAAGTGAAATCGTCAACTACTGAACTTCTTTTTTTGTATCAATGTAAAACATGACTTTGTTGTAATTCAATGACGATCTATTACAGTGTATCTGACCAATCTATTGCACTGTAGACCATTCCAGTTCCTACATTCTGAATGTGATGTGATTTATTCTGTTTTTGATCAATTTACTACTTTTACTTCAATAGAGACTGTTGACTAAAACACTCTTATTTGTATTTTATTTTTTTTATATGTAATTTAAATGAAAAATAAAAATCCAGTATTCAGCATATTCCCTGTCATTATTAATGTTGTCAGATGGCACATCTGATATTCATCAGATGGTGCAACCATGTAAAATCTTGATTTAATCTAACAAATATTAGGTCAAAGTGAACAAATGCCTGAAAACTAGATTGTGAATAGTTATTGTATTAAATGCATTTACTGCTTTACTTGTATGATTATTTTTCTTTCTTTAAAAGTAAAATCGGATGCTAAAGATACTAGAATGCTATAATTATTAATGAGTATGAATAAAATACACAACACAAAATAATAGTGTGTTAGGCACTGTAGACACTCTACGGGTTACTTTTCTAAGATTTCACTTATAAATACAATTAGGAATATATGTTTGCAAATATTTGGTTGTACCACATGACAAAAAAAAAAAAAAGATAAAAAGATAAATTTAAACGCGTTGAAATGTTATTTAACAATCGAAACTTTAAAGCATTGTTCCTGACTCAAAAATGTGCATTACATAATTTATGGAAAGATTTGTTTTTTAAAAATACTATTTTATTTGTCATTGACCAAAATGTAGTCAGTCATTTGATCAGTCAGAAGGAAAGAACACATGGAGCTGAAAGGAGAGGGACTAGGACCAAAGATCCTTGTCTCTGCTGTGATACAGGGCAGAATGTGTCTGTTTATAGTTCTTGCTCATTAAAGCTTTATTTCTGCTATTTTACTTTTGGAATACTGGTTGATGTGAAGTGACATATTTAAAATAATTCATCTTCATAAGTCCTGCTGTCATATAAACAGACTAGTTTGTGATACAAATGAACAGACTCCAATACATGTAACAGAGTTTAGTTTATGTTTGTTTTAATTATTTAAGTTACTCATGCAGACTTGTACAGCAGTGGGTTTGACTTCTCATTACTGCCTGCAGTTGGTTGTTTGCTTATGATCTCATAAGGTTTTTTTTGTGTGTGCATAATCTGTCATTTAATGCATGTGTTAATGGGTTCTCACTTGCACAAACACACAGCAGTGTTTTCATTTGCCCTCACTTATTGTCCCTTCCCTTCAACAGAACATACACATAAAAACATTGGCTGATGACATGGTAAGGTGTCTGTTTCTTTTATTTTGCGTGTCTTTCTTTTTCTCGTATGTTTTTGTTCTTTTTCTCATCTTCGCCATGACTCCGAGTTGTTAAAGTGAAGTGATCGACAGAGAGAGATCAAAGACAAAAAAGCACAGAAAAACTGTTTTTTTTTTATCACCCTGTCATCAGGTCTGTCATAATCAATCAGTCTAAAGTTCACTCCAGATCAGCAAGCTGGAGTTCAAGCAGACACATGGCAACTTGATGTAATCATTCATGATAATTTGCCAGACCCTTGTCTTCAGTTTGACTTTGGTCTCTCCTTGAACACTTGCATTTTACAACAGAGTGTGTTTGATTCTTTTATTTCATTCATTTGGATTTCATCCATGCATGTTCCCTCCATGTTTTCAATGACAGACTAACAGTGACTTGTGCATGGTTTGATTTCACTTTCCCTGAGCCAGTAACCCATGACTGGAACGCTGGCAGAAGCCGCTCGCATCTCTTTCAAATTAGATAGAAACCTAAAACACACCGTAGTCACGTCTTGCCATCTAATGTAGTCCATAAAGCTGTCTGTGACATTGTCTTTGTATTCATTATGAATGTAATGTGAACATTAACAAGTGGAAAGATGACACAGGTAATATCAGCCCTGTGCTTTAAAAAGTACAGTTTGGAAAGGTGAAGTAACAGGTGAGGTAAGCAGGTGAGTCAAACATGAAACCTTGAATCATATTTTAAAACTTTCTAATAATTAACCAAACAATTTTGTATTAACTTAAAGAACCCTATGAAATCAAAAGGAGAGTTTTGTTTGTTTAGTCTGTTTAGTAGCTTTAAGGCTATTTATTTGCTAGTGTACTCTCAAATGTTGATTTTTTTTAATCAACAATACAGTAAAAACAGTAATATTGTGAAATATTACAATTATATTTTAAATAATACATTACTGTATGTAATTTTTTATAGCAAAGCTGAATTTTCAGCATTGTTACTCCAGTCTTCAGTGTCATGTGATCCTTCAGAAATCATTCTAAAATTCTGATTTGGTGCTCAGGAAATTCTCCTTTTCCTCCTTCCTTCTCTTTCTCCTTCTCCTCTTCCAATGTTGAAACAGTTGTAGTCTTGTGGAAACCATGATACTTTTTACAGAATTTTTTTATTTAATAGAAGATCCAAAAGAACATAATTTATTTCCAATACAAATATTTCACAACAATGTATTTACTGTCACTTTTGATAAATTTAATGCATTCTTTCTGAATTATATATATATTTTTAAAATACTCGAAATTTTTGAACTGTAGTGTATATGCATTTCAAATTTACAGTATCTACAGGGAAAACTGAACAACAATAATGATGACTCGTGTTGCACTTTACAGATTTTTGTCCAATCAAATTTAATTCAAATGAGAATTTTCTTCCCTCTGCAACCAACCAGCATATTTAAAGCCTACTAGCTGTTTTTTTTAAGTTTTTTTTTTTTTAGAAAAACAGACAAACCCATTGATATGCCTCTCCTAAAACTTCCTTTCTTAATGGGAAATACACCAATAGAGGGCAGAAAACTGCACTCAGGGGATGTCACAGGGTCACAAAAGTTATTCAGAAGGCATTTCCACTGTCAGATATATGTGCTGTTTATTTATTTATTTATTTGATCTGACATATGCACCAGTTATTTACTTAGTTATTTGTCTCTCCAGCGTGACAGAATCACCAGTTTTCGAAAGCAAGGCACGAAGAAGGAGAAGCCTCTTATCCAGCACCCCACAGACCCCATCTCCAACCAGACCGAGCTGCCTGTGCCCCAGCCTTTTTTCGACGAGCGCTCAATGAACCTGTCAGAGAAAGAGATCATCGACTTGTTTGAGAAAATGATGGTGAGTTTGTTTTCTCATCCTGTGATCTGCACTGTGCCCCAGGCACTGTATGACCTCAGACGCCCTTTATCAATGATGCATATCAAAGTGTGGAGCTCATGTTAAGCGTGTCAATTAGGCCATCAAAACCATTTTCTCTGTGACATTATACCACTTACACACTTTGCCAGCAACATAAAATGAGTTTAGCAAGGATTTAGCTTAAGTTTAAAAAAATTTTGTCCAAGCATTCACTTCATTCATTATAATATCCGCAGTACTTGCAGATAATATAATATTGATTAAAAAGGCCATTTCAGTGTACTTGAAGAGAGTACACTTTCATGACTGTGTTTCTTAACACGCTTAAAGGGTCACTTTGGGGGATAGTACACTTGTAATACTACATGTGCACTTTGCAATAATGCCAAATTTAAAGTTTTACTTCATAGGACATTTTAAATCATTATGTTTTATTAATCTTTTGCCTACTGCATTGAAGTACACTTCTTTTGATGTGCTGACTTGCATATTAAAGCACACGTAAAGTACTTAATTATTGTATTGATTGTTTTATTCAATGTTACTTTTAAAGTTAAAATAAATACATGGCATGTAAGTTTCTGTAGAAAAACATTAAAGGGGTCATGATGCTATTTTAAGTTCATCAGGTGTAATAGAATAGGTTAATATGCTTTAATGCTCAAAAGCACATTATTTTTCACATGCTGTATATTATTGCAACTCCTCTATTCCCAATCTATCTGAAACACACTGGTTTCTACAAAGATCCTCCTTCTGAAAAGCTCATAGGGCTCTGATTTGCTAGCAGACCCAGTGCATTGTGATTGGCCAAACACCTCAAGCGTGTTTCGGAAATATAACGCCACCACAATCGTGAGCTTTAGCTTCCAAGGCTTTAGCAATTGTAAACACCGTTAACCCTCTGCGTTTTGGCAAATTTTTTTCACATAGCAGAAAAATAGACTTAAACTACTCCATCATTTCTGGTCATACAGAGTTATGAAACATATTTTAAAAAAACTGTTAAATGTCTACTTTTTTATGTGCCCACCTACAATCGAAATAAAATATTGTGCTTTTGTAAAATAAAGAAAATAAACAGGGTGTGCGTTCTGCCTCTCCGTGTCCGTGAACTTTTTTTCTGGAGCACGTCTCTAAACTTAAAAAAAACTCAGCTAATACTATTCACCCAGACATGAGCAATATATGTTTATGATCATTTAAGTTTGTACTTTTGAATTATCTAATTTAAAACTAAAATAAATATTCCCTGTTTATGTAATCTATATAAAAAGAGAGATGTGTCAGCCATTCTCATTATCGTTCTCTCAGCTCATTATTTTCCTAATGTGACGCCCACGGAGAGCGCGCGCTATTTAAACGCTAATGATCTGAAGCAACACATTGAGACATGTAAAACGCCAATACAAACTCTGTAAACACACTTTATTTAGTCAGATTAATGTACTGTTGTTTGGCGCGGCTGTGAGGAATAATCCTGGGACATTTACCTACCTCAGAACAAGTGCTGGTTTATTTTCACTTCGAGGAGCGAGCTGAACTGTAAGTGTTTTATTCTTGTGGTTTGTTCTAATCGCGATATAGAATAACGTTTAGTGTCTGTAAACGCAAAAATAGCCTACTGTTTAAATTTGAATCATGTTTTTGTGTGTGTGTGTGTGTTTGACTAGTTTAGGATCGATTATAAAGTTTTAACTCTAAAATAGACATCAAATAAGCTTTTGTTAGCAGTTTCTGCTCATATGTTAAATATATAGTATGTTTTGTCAAAAATAAACTTATCAACTGTTATAGTGTTTGTTCCAGCTAGGCTATATCAAAATAATGAATCCTTAACTTTGAAATATGTATAATAAAAAATGTATTGGCATACTTTAAAAAATAATACTTTATAAGAGATTTATGGAGAAAGACAATTTTCTTTTCAAGATGTTTCCAACTCTAACTTTGAACCAATTCTATTGAATGGCCCATATAACCCTTGTGTTATGTTGCGGGTCAATTTGACCTGTTTCGATTTTCAAGTTGTTGGAAATACTGGTTAACTTATGTTTTTTTTCTTGATATTTTGTGACTTTTTCTCATTTATCATGATGAACATGCATGCAAAGTTTCAACATGCTGATGTGTTTTGACATATACAAACAAAATTACTGTTACGTTCGTGATGTTCGCGGGTCAATTTGACCCTCATAGGCAGCCATTCAAAAGCAACTGTACAGACACAAAATAAAAACATTTATTTTCTGTATGTCAGGGCACTTCAACTCCAGTTCTAACGTGCAAGTGCATCTAAAAGTGCTCTAACCCTAACCAAACCCACTTGAAAAAGCTAAAATCAGTGTTTAGAATTATTTGCAAATTACAGATGAAAATCTTTCTCAGACACAGATAGTAAAATAAGCTCTCATTTCAATATTCAAAATATCTAAAATACCTAGCTTTTAACCAAAAACTTTTATGTAGGATTTTCAAAGGCAGATTCACAGAGCCAAAAAATAAATAAAAAAACATTTATTTGATGTATGTTTTTGTTATGTTTGGTTTCTCACTTCCCAGTGAGTGAATAATGAAACTAGGAAAATAGGTCTTAGGAAACTAGGGAAAGTTAACTTAGGAAAATGAAAAATTTTCATTATACAGCAATTTTGTTGTTGTTTAGTTACGATGTTCAAAGCATAAAATGTAAAAAAAAAAAAAAAAAAAGGAAAAAAAATTAAAAACATTTTCATAAATCATATTTTCAGATATAATGTTTTTGTAATGTTTGACAAATGCTGATATTAAAAGTTTACAGTTTGTATCTAAATCTTTGTTGTTTTTCATAGTGTGATTTTTGAGGAATTGTATTGAATCCAATTAGGGTCAATTTGACCCGCTCCATAAGGGGAGTACACAGAATTCGAACAGAACACAAGGGATAACCTATTTGAACAGGATTTGTTTCCATGTATGACTAAAAATGTGCTTTTGACTTTCATTTATATTTTGATTTTATATATATATATATCAGAGTTTCCGCTAGAAAAAAATGGTGCCGGTCAAAGTGTCCGGCAGAGTTTTCGTTTTACGGACATTTTGATGATATGCCGGTCAAATATCGCACCTTAATTAGTCAAGTTGAGGAAAACTGGAGGCAGGCTATGTAACTTAAAAAATGACTTCACATATTGCGTCTTTTGCGCGCTCAAGTTCGTTATTTCAAATGTAGGTGCGCGGAATGCGTGCTCATAATGCGTTTTTTCCAAGCGCGTCCGCGTCGAGATAAAAACATCTCGGTGTGGATTGAGGAAGGGCTGCTATTTTTATTTAACGAAAAATCTTAGTCTAACGGGAAAAAATTGCCGGTTTTTGAAAGCTTCGTTCAAACGGATTCAGTGTTTTCTTTTTGTCATCTTAATTTTTTAATTATTTAAGTTAAAAATATATATTTAGTGTTGGCCACTCAGAAATGCTGCAGGTCCGTGAAAATTTGATCTGAATCCAGGTTCTGTTGTTGATCTGTTCTCTATGCTGCTGTTTGCTCTTTGCACGTTAAAATAAACCCTTTGATAAAAAATTTTTTTTTGGTATTTTTAACGGGTCACAGATACGCGTCAATTTTATTTTTATTTAATGCCAATTCAATATTATAATCTTATCAGTTAACGGTTAATAATCGATTAACGAGCGGCGGTTGGTCGGGAAAATTAACCGAAATTAGCATCCCTAATGGATACATTTCGTTGAAATCACATATGAGGACTGCGCAGGCTGTGGAGAAATGCAATCCTCCACGGAGCGCTGTCATGACGGCGAGGGCTTCACGTCGCAGGCTTACGGCATTGATAAGAGGAGCGGTGTCCGCAGACTCAATGCTTGTAAAATGGCAAATAATCCTTCTGATCGGTCAGTGTATTTTTGCTTTATACATTTTAGGCTTATTCTCAAATTCAGATTGTGTTAGGGGGGCGGGATTATTAGGCCATTTTAATCTGACAATTTGACCGGAGAGATTTAATTTTGTCGGACATTTCATTTTTTTCCCGGCCAATGTCCGGTAATTACCGGACAACGGAAACCCTGATATATATATATATATATATATATATGTCTGTGTGTGTATATATATATATATATATATTTTCCTTGCATTCTTTCTTGTGACACACCTGAATGAAATGAATGCATCTTTGTCTTCTCAGGTGAGAATCACCTAATTATACATGAGGGGGTTGGGCCGTTCACGCCCATTCGCATATTGCCTTTCAAAAAAAAAAAAATGTTTTTCACAATTTAAAGCAATCTATGGTGTTATGTGAATGATTAGAAAGGATGATTTTCAGATCATTTTGAAGCAAATACTCTAGGCCACAACTTCCATTAGTCAAAAGTCTTGTGGACACATATTTAGTATGTGTTTTTTGGCCTTATTTCAGAAAGTTTAATTTTTAGTTTTATCAATAAACATGCATAAACAATATTCTCTCAAATACAAACATGTACATACATGTTGCTTACATATTATGGTAGCCCTGTTTGTGCTAAATAGAGTGTAATTTCACCTGTACCAGTAATATGTTTATAAGCAACTGAAAAAAACACAAATGTCAGGGCATGTCAAAACATCTCAAGGACCCCAAAAACACCTTGGTCCCCAGAGGGTTAATAATGTCGGTTTTACCATATCGGGTTAGCCTGGCTAACGTCAGACCACGTCTCAATCTCAATGAGACGTAGTCTGACGTTAGCCAGGCTAACCCGATATGGTAAAACCGACAACATTATTAACGGTGTTTACAATTGGTGTTTACGGTCAGGGAACCACATGTTCATTTTCTCGTATTTGAGGCGTGGTTTATGAATGCCCAGAGCCGTTTATTGGGTGCTACGAATGTCTATCAAATGCGCCTGTACGTAGCCAATCGTTTCAATTATACCAGATGACGTATGTAGAGCGACAGAAATTAGACGAGGAAGAAGACGACGGGTCAGAG